GCGTTCAGTGAGCAAGGGGGGTCATTGTTGTAATCCATTCAAGTTTTTTCCTCTCTTCAGCAGAAGATTAGAAAAAAAAAATCCAAACTTGAATCCAGGACTTCAAAAATGCCAGTTGTCTAAATACAGTACCATATTGTGATAAATATAGCTATTGAAATTTAAAAATCTATTCACAAAACTTTATTTTAATATTCATAACAGAACTTTTTTGGAATGTTATCTGAAAAACAGAGGAACATTTTATCATCAGAGCTGACTATTAATTAGGGTATTGTTTCAGATATAAAAGTTGATCTGCCACTGAAGTTCTATTTGAATATGTATAGTTTGAAGCTTGCTTTGTGTATTTAATAACTTCAGTACCATAATTACTCTGTTTACAATTAAATTTTGGGGAATATGCTAATACGGAATATACCAGTGAGTGGTTCCAGCGAAGGGCAGTATTGATTTGCATCTTGATGTGCTTTTCAGTTGCATCTGCATTTCATTTCGTATCAAAGGGGAAAGGAAGTGGTCAGGTTAAGTAACAGATTATGTGATGATAAAACTTGGCTTTGAATCCTCTCTGTCGCATTGGTGACTAGAGCAGCGGATTTGAGCGAAGTGGGCTGAAGCGCAGCACCAAGATTTGCGTGTAAGGTTTGTGACCTCCAGGGCATTCGTCAGTGGAAACTTGTAGTATTGGTTTCATTATTAAAAGAAACTTAAAATTGTTGAAAAAGTTCTAGCCATTGTAAAATCCTAAAAATTGTAAAACGAAAAAAAAAGTCCTAAAATTGTTCAGTTGAAGTTGGTATTGTTAGCTCTGCAGAGCACTCACCAGCTTACTAAGGTGGGTACTTGTGGGTATGCTTTTTTTTTTTGAGCAGGGACTTAATGGTTTAGAGTAGTTCTTTTCAGAAATTGCTTGAAAGGCAGCGAGGGGAAGTGACACAGATTCTGTATTCTCAGAAACCAGAAGACTGTGTAACGCTGGGAAGGTCTCACCTTGGGGAGAAGGGGGTGCAGAGAGGGACCCTGAGGGCTGGCTGGGCTTCCCCCACCAGTGACCCTTCTGTGACTTGGGTGGCTGCAGGAGCCAGCAAAGCCAGATGCTGTGGTGCAGGCTCCCTGAGGGATGCCCGATTCTCCCTGATGGAGCCAGGAGCAGAGGGAGAGTGGGAGGGGCTGGCTGGCTCCTCTTCAGTAATGCTCTTGGAGCACTCAGGGGTCTCAAGAAAATGACCACCCAAGGGCACTGGCCCCTAAAGTTCTGACACCTTCTTTTTAGGCTCCTCCTGCCCCTAAGTTTTCTACCACCTCCCAGTAACACCCTACTGGGACCCTTAGGGCTACACAGACACAGCGCCTTGGAGAGAATAGTAGGTGTTGGCAGGAGCTGTGATGGTCTCACCTTGTACGCCTGAGCGGTCTGTTGGCTTCGATGCTCTGAGCTGCTTGAGCTGGTAAACATCTTCCTTTTTCAGGATCGTTTTAGGTTTGCACAGGTGAGAAAGGCTTGCTGCAGACACAGCAGGGGAAGGCGCTTCTTTCACTGCTGCAGAGGGTTTGCTTGCTTGTTGGGGTGGGTTGTCTTGGGTAAAATGATGCCAGCATGTGATCCACAAGCCAGCAATGAATTCGACAAGAGAAATGAAACTGTTTGGAAGAAATGAAAATAAAACATCGGAACACACGGAATGCAGCAAAAACAGTACAGAGAGGGTTACTGATCTTACAATTTGGATGAAGGCTGCCTTATCTCAGAGAGAACATACGGAATTTGTCTTTTTGGGATTGACTTATTTTACTAAGCATAATGGTCTCTAGTTGGGACCATCTATTTGCAAATGGTACAATTTCATTCTTTTTAATGGCTGAGTAATATTCCATGGAGTAGATGTACCGTATTTCTTTATCCACTCCTCTTTGAACGGGCATCTGGATTGTTTCCATGTCTTTGCTATTGTAGATTGTGTTGCTGTAAGAATAGGATTACAGGGCCCGGCGCGGTGGCGCAAGTGGTTAAGTCCTCGCCTAGCACGCCCGGGATCCCATATGGGCGCCGGTTCTAATCCCGGCAGCCCCGCCTCCCTTCCAGCTCCCTGCCTGTGGCCTGGGAAAGCAGTCGAGGACAGCCCAAAGCTTTGGGACCCTGCACCCGCGTGGGAGACCCGGAAGAGGCTCCTGGCTTCGGATCGGCATAGTATCGGCCCGTTGCGCTCACTTGGGGAGTGAATCATCGGACGGAAGATCTTCCTCTCTGTCTCTCCTCTCTGTATATCCGCCTTTCCAATGAAAAAAATAATAAAAATAAATCTTTAAAAAAAAAGAATAGGATTACAGATCCCCTTCTCATATGCAGTTTTCATTGCTTTTGGAGCGGGATAGCTGGGTCATATGGCAGGTTTATTTGCAGTTCTTAATTCTTAAGGTGTGGCTGTGCGCTGTGGGTACTCCCCTGTGGATTTCTTTGGTATGCAGTAGAGAGCTTCTTGCTTCCACTTGTCTCAATGGGTGGGTTCCTGGGGGGGCGCTCCAAGCCTCCAGTTCTTTGCAGACTGCCTTGTCACCTACTCTGTAGGCTGCGACTTGTCGAGAATTCCTTCTGTGGGCTCCCTTTCCTGCTTCTTGCATGTGCTCGTCTTGGATTCCTTGTCTCTCCTCTGTTAGTAGCTGACCACTGTTAGTGACTTGTGTGAGATTCTTCTGGGGTTGTGGTGCAGTGGGTCAAGGTGCTGTTTGTTTGCTGGCTTCCCATAGTGGAGTGCTGGTTTGAGTCCTGGCTGCTCTGGTTGCAGTCTAGCACTCTGCTGATGCAAAGACAGGGGTAGATGGTTCAAAGTGTTTGGGCCCTGCTGCTGACATGGAAGACCCGATGGAGCTTCTGGTCAGCCTGGCCCAGCCCTGGCTGTTGCGGCCATTCAGGTAGTGAAGCAGTGGGTGGGATATCTTAAGAAAAAAGAAGAAAAGAAAAATAAATTATTGTGTTTAAATCAGTTGTATTTAAGGATTGTGTTTTTACTTGGGAAGTAGAGTTAAGGAGAGAGAGCTCTTCCACATGCTGTTTCATTTCCCAGATGGCTGCAGCAGCTGAAGCCAGGAGCCAGGAACTTGTGCGTCTTTCTTGCGGGAGCAGGGGCCCAAGGCCTCGCCGTCCTCTGCTGTTTTCCGAGGCTCTTAGCAGGGAGCTGCATGGGAAATGGAGCAGCCAGGACCTGAATCGGCACCTGTATGAGATGCTGGCACCAGAGGTGGAGGATTAGCCTGTCATGCCATCACGCTGGCCCCACTTGTATATTTTCTATTTCTTCCATGGACCTTGACTGTTACACCACTTTTTAAAAAATAAATAAAATAGATTGAAATAAATCCTGCGTGTACAGCATGATGGATTTTTTATAGAGTGTGTGTCAGGCTGGGGCCTGGAGCGCTGCCCTGTCCTTGCCACCGTCTTCCAGTCCTGGGGCACTCGGTGGCGTGGCATGGGTGACTTAGGAGAAAATTGACCAGCCTCTGGGGGCTGATTTTGGGAAAGAAGTCAGTCCAAGTCTTAATTAATCATTACCATTAGTTTCAATTAGTGGGCTACAAGAATAAACTGGAAAGGAAAGCCAGCAGCTTTATTTGGATGAAAAACACTTTTGTATTGACCACAATATATATTGAGCCAGACTTTTCACTTAAAATATGCTAGGTTTTTGGACCTTTCTTGAAAGGAATAACAGAAAGACATGAGAGATTGCCCGGTAACTTTTGGGTTCCAGAAAGAGAAAAGCTTTGAGCCATAGCAGTTAGCCTTGTGGTAGAACAGGCTCAGCCGCTGGCTGCAGCGCTGGTGTCGTAGGGGGTCAGTGTGAGTCCCGCTGCTGCTCGGGATCCTGGGCAGACTGTGAACGTAGGCCTGGGTCCCTGCGGGGCTGCAGGGAAGTTCCTCATCCGCCTTTGGCCGGATCCGGCTGCAGTTGTTAGTTACTGGAGTAATTGACTAGTGCATAGGGATTCAGCCTCTCTTTTCTCTCTCTCTCCCTCTCTCTCTCTCCCTCTCTCTCTCTCCCTCTCTCTCCCTCCCCATCCTCCCCTTCCCCTCCATCTTCCTCTTCTAAAACCCTGACTTTCAAATAAATAAAATATTTTTTAAAAGTTATTATTTTTAAAAGATTTATTTTTTATTTTTATTGGAAAGTCAGGGGAAGAGACAGAGGAAGATCTTCTGTCTGACGATTCACTCCCCAAGTGACCACAATGGCCAGAGGCATGCCAATCCGAAGCCAGGAACCTGCACCTTCTTCTGGGTCTCCCATGTTGGTGCAGGGGCCTTGGGCCGTCCTCAGCTGCTTTCCCAGGCCACAAGCAGAGAGATGGATGGGAAGCAGGGCTGTCAGGATTAGAACCAACGCCCATATGGGATCGTGGCATGTGCAACGGGAGGACTTTAGCCACTAGGTTACTGCACCGGGTCCAGAAACTTATAGTTTTTTTTTTTTTTTTAATTGGAAAGTCAGATCTACAGAGAGACAGAGATTGATTTTTCTATCAGCTGGCTTACTTCCCAAGTGGCTACAACAGCTGGACCTGGGCCGATACAGTGTTGGGTCTCTCCTGGCTTCTCCTGGGCCTGCCACATAGGTGCAAGAGCTCAACGCCTTGGGTATCGTCTGCTGCTCGCCTGACTGTTAGCAGGGAGCTGGATTGAAGGAAGAGCGTCCAGGGCTTGAACCTGTGTGCACAAGGGATGCTCCTGCTGAGCCCTGTGTTAAAATAAGCATTTTTAGTCACAGATGTTATCATGCCACTGCAAAACTAAATTATTTTCTTGGAAATAATTGCTTAGATCATTTTATTTATTGTCTCCAAAGTAAGGAGATAATCAGATAGGATTTGAACTGTTATAAATCAGAATGAGCAGACACTGTTTGTGTAAGGAATGGGTGGGCGTTTGGGCTGTGTCTCTTACACAGAGCTTCCCTTGGAACCCTTGCAAGGTTGTGAGTTTGCTTTGTTTCTCATTGCAGTGGAAATGCCTCGTGTGAAAGCCGCTCAGGCTGGAAGACAGGGCCCTGCCAAAAGGCGTCTCGCAGAACAGTTTGCAGCTGGGGAGGTCATGACTGACTTGTCCAAGAAGGAATGGAAACTAGGACTGCCCATTGGCCAGGGTGGCTTTGGGTGCATCTATCTTGGTGAGTACGTGGCCACTCCACTTGTCCTTGTAGAGTTACACGCTTTCTTACCAACATGGTTAGCGCCGCTGCAAGCTGCTTCTGGTGACCTGCGGTGACCTGTGTGATTCAGCAACAGCGCGTCTGACGTGAACGTGAATGGTTCTGGGTGACTCAAGGTACAGGAGTGAAAATACCTCTGGTGTCCTTCCTGAGCACCGCAGCTTTACCTCTAGGTTGTAAGATATTCCATAGAATTGGGCGCTTTTGAGATCCAAAGAAAGCAACGTATCTGTCCCCTCCGCTCCCCTCCTCCAGGACTGACCTGGAGCCTCTTGAACTGTCTTTGTGAGACAGTGCTTTATTTTATGCTTGCCTCCTGGCGGCCTGTGGCCTCTGCCTTGGGAGTGTTTATTCTACAGTGTATCTCTGTGTGCTGATGACGCTGTTAAGAGGACTGGTTAAGCGGCGATGCTGTTTGTTTCCTCCCGTGAAAGTTGCCTGTGCAGTCTTGCAGGACGGTGTTCGTCTTCCCCGGTGGTCTCACCCTGCTTCCCTCCTGTTCTCGGTTACCTTGCAGGTATTACAGCTAGCTTTCCTTTCGTGGCTTACTTTTCATTTTGTGCTATCTCTCTGATGTCGTTGAGCCTTCCAGTTCCTTCTCTCTTGACTTCTGTGTCTTTGTAGCTTAGGACCTGTTCCCTGAATCCTGACCATGAACTGGTGCCTGCAGCTCGGAGGTGCCACATGCAGGCCCGAAGGTGACAGCATCGCTCAGTCCTGGCCTGTGATCAGAAGGGGGTTATCTGAGAGCATGGCATTCCTCTCAAGGGAGAAATGGGGAAGTTACGCTTTTATTTTAAGATTCTTAAAACAGATTTATTTATTTTACTTGAAAGAGTTATAGGAAAATGGCGGGAAAGACAGAGCGATCTTCCATCCAGTGGTTCACCCTGCAAATGGCCACCACTGCCAGGGCTGGGGCGGTGCGAAGCTGGGAGCCAGGAGCTTCTTTCAGGTCTCTAATGTGGGTGCAGGGGCCTGAGGCCTGGGGCCATCCTTTGCTGCTTTCTCAGGTCATCACAGGGAACTGGACCTGAGGGGAAGCAGTGGGGACGAAGCCAGCACTCACGTGGGTTGCTGACGCTGCAGGCATCCCAGATATCTGCTGTTCTTTGTAGTGGAAACATTGAAAATCTTCTCTTCTAGACATTTTGAAATCTAAATTGTTGTCATGGTTATCCTGCTGTGATATAGAAATTAAAAGTTATTCCTTCTGGGCCTAGCATATAATTCAGTGGCTAAATCCTCACCTTGCAAGCATCAAGGTTTCATATGGGTACCAGTTCATGTCCCGGCTGCTCTAGTTCCCATCCAACTTGCGATTTGTGGCCTGGGAAAGCAGTGGAGGATGGCCCAAAGTCTTGGGCCCCTGCACCTGCGTGGAGACCTGGAAGAGGCGGCTCTTGGCTCCTGGCTACAGATCAGCTTAGCTGTGGCCAATGCAACCATTTGGAGATTGAACCAGCAGATGGAAGATCTTTCTGTCTCCTCCTCCTCTCTGTAAATTTACCTTTCCAATAAAAATAGATAAATCTAAAAAAAAAAAGTAAATAAAAGGAAGTGGCTGTTGTACACTTCCATGTCTAAGTGATGCTGCGAGATATTTTGTCTTCCTATTCACTCAATATTATGCCCTCTAGTTTTGTGTTGGTGCAGATGACACAGTTTCATTATTTTTTTATGCCTGAATAATATCCCGGTGTGTGTACATACCTCATTTCCTTTACCCATTCATCCTTCAGTAGACAGCTGACTGACTGCATAGCTCGGCTGTTGGGACTAGTGTGCAGTATCCATGGGAGTGGAGGTAGGCATCTAGTGGTTTCCTGTGCTTTGCATGTACCTAGTAATGAGATCGCTAGATTAATGTTGGAGGGATTTCCGGTTGTGGGAGGAACCTCTCTAACGTTTTCCGAAGCAACTGTACAATTTTCGTTCTTGCCAGCAGTGCATGAGAGTTCCTCTGAGATCTTGAGTTTATAGGGTGCTTCCTTTTCTTCATTTTCCCAAAAATGCGTTTAGGGCAGCCAGTATACGTTTATAGCGTTGTGTTTACCCTTCTGCAATACTTTCCACACTGCATCAACATTACTTGTCTTTCTTCCCAAGCGAGTGTGTGCTTCTTGATGAGGCCTGCCCCGTTGCTTCTAGGGCCTGGCAGGATGGACTGTTGGGATGAATGACGGAGACTGCCCCCTCCCCCACGCCTCCCTGTTTGAATTGTGCAGAGTTATTGGGATACAGTTTTCCTTTCAAAGCTGCGTTATTACTAATTCAGTGATGGAATGACTTTCCCTGGGCCGACTGTAAGGAGCACAGACCTCTCCACCGGCCTGGACTGGTGCCTGGCTGTTGCACCTATCTGGGCAATAGTAGATAGACGATCTCTTTCCCTCTGTTTCTGCCTTTAGGATAGATAAGTGGTAAAAACAAACAGACAAAACTCTGCAAAAATTATTGTCTGCTAGAAGCTAGTGGGTATTTGGTAGACTTTTCTTCCTCCCTCCCTGCTTCCTCCCTCCATCCCTGCCTCCTCAGAAAGGTGTCTGAGAGACAGATTGATCTTCCATCTGCTGATTCATTCCCCAGATGACCTCATGCCAGCCAGGCTGGGCCAGGAGCTTCTTCCAGGTCTCCCATGTGGGTGACCAAGGACCATCCTCTGCTGCTTCCCTAGGCACAGTAACAGGGAGTTGGGTCAGAGTGGAGCAGCCCAGATTCAAACCAGCGCCCATTTGGGATGCTTATGTCACAGGCAGTGGTTTAATGGGCTACACCACCGTGCCATCTCAGAATTGTAGCACAGCTGTGTTTCTTTGTTTGCATGAAATGAGTGACTGCCACTTTAAAATTATTCTGCATGGTAGTTAGACATCCTAATGCTAATAACTTGAACTACTTATTCTAGATGAAATTTTTGTCAAACTGGTGTGTTTTGAAACTTGAGCCTTCTCTTTTTACTCTCCAGATAATCCTCCTCAAAAGGATTCTGAAGTTTGTTAAATTTAAGAAATTGCATCATTCATCATCCTGTGGAGAATTTTATAATTTACATTAGCATATCAAAGTGAGGACTTTTGAATTAAAGAAATCTCTAACTTTTTAAACTCAGAGTTTGCTATACTTAATTGATGATCAAATTGAGAAGCTAGGATTTGTAAGATGTATTTGAATTTCAGATTGTTAAATCATGAACAACAAAGTTTAAATTTGATGAAATATATTGTGATGATATCCTAAAACATGTATTGAGTAACTAAAATGCATTCAGGAATTATAGAAATGCAATTCTAAAAATTAACTTATGTTTATATTAAGCTTACTTTTTCTGATAATAGTTTCACTTTTTTTAAACAGCTGACACAAATTCTTCAAAATCAGTTGGCAGTGATGCACCCTGTGTTGTGAAAGTGGTAAGAAAATATTTTAGCTAATAATTTTTTTCTCAGTGGAAGTCATGATTGTATTTTCTATTTATTTTGTAAAACATCTTTCGTAATAACTGGAATTAAACCATAAGGCATTGCAGTTTTAATTGTGTCTCATAAGCATTTAATGAGACACGAACGTAGCTCTAAGAGTTTGAAGTAAGCTCAGAGAAGGGGAGTGGCCCTGGCGTGAGCACGCGTGACCGATGCACAGAGCTGCACTCACGGCCCACGGGAGGTGGCTCCTCTGCACACAGAGAGACCTGGTACGCTTACATCGCACAACATCAGACTAACAACGCATTTTTATTATAGTCTGTGTTTGCTTCTGGACTTGAATTTGGCCAGTTTTTTTTTTTCTTCTGAATTCTAGTTTTATTTGCATACCTTTGCATTTAGTAAAATGAATTTTGTTATTTTTGAACCTTTGTTGGTCTGCTGATTGTTGAAATCAGTTTGAAATTATTAAGTGTACTTTGAATAGTGAGGTCAAATTATATTGGTAAACTAAAACATATTTTAGGTTTTTTAGTTACACTTAAAAAAAAAAAAGATTTAGTTAAAAGGCAGAATTGGAGAGAGAGAGGTCTTCTGTTCACTTGGCAACTCCCCGGGTGACTGCAGTGGCTGGAGCTGGGTCTGTCTGAGCCAGGTCCCTACGGGTCTCCCGTGCGGGTGCAGGGGCCCCGGCACGTGGGCCATCCTCCGCTGCGTTCCCAGCCCGTTGACAGGGCGCCGGATGGGCAGTGGAGCAGCCGGGGCTCGAGCCAGCGCTCGCGCTGCAGGTGGACGCTTCGCTGGCCCTGGCCGGCTTGTTTGCCAGTGTGTGAAATGTCCTCCCCTTCTCGGTACATGTGAAGATCGTGTTTTTGTTTAATAGATGAGCTAGCAAGATGTTAGTTTGACAATTAACAGCTGCTTTTTTGCTAATGGCTACATAACTCATCAATTTAAATTATGAATTAAATTATGAGTTTGTTTTCTTTTACTGTTTTCAAAAAAAGATTATTTAACTTGACCTTAATTTATTTAACTTTTCTGTAATTGAGGCATGACTGCTTCCAGGAGTAACTCGGCCAAGTGCACACACCTGTGCAAGATGTGAAGCGTGAGATCCTGGGCATTTCCGCCTCCTCTTTTCCGCTCAGACCCGACTGCCCAGACTCCGGGTCCTGCTGCTTGGAGTTTATGTTTTTAATTTTTGCTGTGTTTAGTTACTTGTATTGGTGGAATATTAAATAAGTGGTATTATGCAATCTGTACTGTTGTTTCTCTGACTTATATTCAGCATGGTGCTTTAAACATTCATCCGTATGTTGGTCTATCTTTGTTCAGTTTTATTTATTTGTAACATTTCAGTTGCTTCTAATTTTGGGTTATTATATCTATACATATTCTGGCTCAAGGTTTTTCTTTTTTTTTTTTTTTTTATCTTAGGAAGTTTATTCCAGCGAGGCAGGAATAGGGGAAGGGGAAGGAGGGGGAAGGGAGGTAAGAAGGAGGAGAGGGAGAGCAGGGGAGAGGAACCAAGGAGAGAGCAAGAGCAAGAGAGAGCAAGAGAGAGCAAGAGAGAGAGAGAGAGAGAGAGAGAGAGAGAACCGAGTGGGGCAGGAACAGGGGAAGGGGAGGGAAGGGAGGAAGAGCAGGGGAGAGGAACCAAGGAGAGGGAGAGAGAGAGCAAAAAGGGCGGTTTTTCTTTTTTTTAAATTTTTATTGGAATGTCAGATATACAGGGAGAGAGGGACAGAGGAAGATCTTCCATCTGTTGATTCACTCCCCAAGTGGCTGCAACAGCTGAAGTTGCGACGCTCTGGAGCTAGGAGCCAGGAGCCTCTTCTAGGTCTCCCATGTGGGTGCAGGGTCCAAGGTTTTGGGCCATCTCTGACTGCTTTCTCAGACCACAGGCAGAGAGCTGGATGGGAAGCAGGACTGCCGGAATTAGAACTATTGCCCATTTGGGATCCCAGCATGTTCAAGGCAAGGACTTCAGCCGCTAGGCTACCGTGCTGGGCCCACAAGTGTTTGTTTTAAATATGTGTTTATTTTTATTGCAAAGTCAGATATACAGAGAGGAGGAGACACAGAGAAGATGGTCTTCCGTCCTATGATTCACTCCCCAAGTGACCACATCGGCCAGGGCTGAGCCGATTCGAAGCCAGGTTTCCCATGCAGGTGCAGGGTCCTGAGGTTTTGGGCCGTCCTTGGCTGCTTTTCCAGGTGCTTTTATGGGTGTGAATTTCTGTGTCTTGTGTGAATACCTAGAAGCTGGATTGCTGGTGGAGGGGGAAGGTGTGTGTGTGAGGAGCTGGCAGAGCTCTGCCACGCGCACGAGGCGCTGGTTGCCGCCTTCTCCAGCGTCGGCGGCGGGGCTGGCGGGCGTGGGGTCTCGCCGAGGGTTTGCAGCAGTAGCTTCCTGCAGCCTCAGCTTGTGATTTTGAGCAAGTTTTCTGCATTTTCTTGGTAATTCATATGTTTTCCTTTGTGGCAGCTTTTATTGATCTTTGCCTATTTCCCTCTTTTTGTCCCCTTTAACTTTTATTTTTTATAGTTGAGCAGTAAAAGTTATTCTGTATACGGATTTTTTCAGATACATGTGCTGTAAATATTTGCTCCTAGTTTGTAGATTGCCTGTTCATTTCCAGGTTGCGCTTTCAGCATCTTCTGAGATGGATTGTAAGTTTTTCCCTTTATTCTGTTACTGTGTCAGTGCAGTGACTGCTCTTAGTGTTGAGTTAATGGTGTTAACACACTCTGCTTAGTCCTGAGGTATTATGCTTTTTCATGTAATGGCAGGTCTGTTCTGCAAAGGTAGTTAAGCAAGTTTTTTTTGTTTGCTTACTTGAGATGATCAGAAAGCTTCCATCCTAGTCACTCGTTAAATGCCCCCAGTGGCTGGGGTTGAGCTGGGCTGCAGTCCAGGTCTCCCTGTGGGTGGCAGGAACCTGGTCCCTTGAAGTGTTGCTGTGATCTCCTGGCATTGGTATTAAAGCTGCATGCGGGGAGTCAGAGCTAAGAATCAAATCTGGTACTCCGATGTGGGTGACTGTGTCTTAACCATCAGGCTGGATCCCTCCCCAATTGCTTAGGGATGGATGTTATTTGAGAGGCAGAAAAGCAAAGACAGAGAGGTGGGAGATAGAGGCCCCAGCAGCGGGACTGGGCGGGACAGGCGGGGCCTGACCTCTCAGGTCTCTGGGCTGCGTGGCGGGAACCCAGTTACTTGAGCCTTCATCACTGCTTCTATGGGTTGCTTTAGCAAGAAGTTGGAGAGAGGAGCTGGAGCCAGGTGTTGAACTAGGTATCCCCACACACAATGTGGAATGTGATCGTTTTAACTGCCAGGCCAAACGCCTGCCTCTGTATTTGTGTTTGATATGACAAATTAAAATCTGTGGGTAAGATTAATTTCTTAAGATCTTGAAAAGATTGTGTCTGAGAAGCGAGCGAGGCTCCTTGAGGCGCCCTGTCGTCTTGAGGTGATGTCTGAGTCCTTTGTACCTGATGCACTGTGTGTCCGTCCCCTGGGTTGGAGGGGAGGCGTGCTGTGCCATGTCTTACCGGTGGGACTAGTGTATAATCCCATGGTTTTGTTTCATATAAATATGTTCACATGTTGACTGCTGTTTGTTATTCTGCATTATAAGTAGCACTAGTTCAGCTATTTCTCAGTGTAACTTCACTTTCACTTGCAGTCAATAGCAGAAGTGGACAGGCCCAGGTTCCTTGGATGTCTAAGGCAGCACCTTGCGTGGCTAGGCCGCTTGTTTCCAAGCCGATCCCTGCCTCTGCGTCTCCTGACTGCTGATTTAATTCTGTTCCATTAGCTCTTCTTCCCATTATTCTTTATCTCTCCTCCTCTTGTTGTCAGGATAGTGATAAGTACCTCTCTTGCATTTGATATTTCAATAGTTTTTTCAGCATTGTAGTTTTTGATCCTGGAATAACGTCACAAACTGTTAGTTGACTGTGTCTTTTTAGGAACTGTTGCTTTAGGTATCTGTCTTTCCTGAACTCTGCAGCTCCTGCAGCATTCATCGAGCACACTGGGCTTGCAGCCTCACCCGTTAATGTTTTTCTCACGCCGCTAGTTTTTAGCGTTTTGTGTGTTGAATTTATTTTCCTAACTAATTTTAACTTATTTGATATTTAGGATATTATCTGCAACTTTGCTTTCCATTCAGACTGTAAATGTTCATCTGTTCTCTTGAATACTTCATCATAATTTTGTACTGCATTTTAAAAGCTCTCATTGTGATTGTTCATTGCGTTTAACTTCCTGATGCTGTCCACTTGTGTCACCTGCTTTGTTGAGAACAGGCTTGGTCATTAACCATCAGGGGCTCTTCAAGATCATTGTTCCAAACACGTGGTCCTCTTTGGGGACGTGTCCTAATTGATGGCTGACGGGGCACAGACCTGGAAAGCAAGAAGACTTTTGTAAAGTGTCTGAATGTGAACAAAGTACACCAGCTGTTTCCAGGTTTTTAAATGAGCATGTATTTTATCTTTAGAGAGCAATATTTGCAGACAAATGGAAAAAAAAAACCTGTCAAGTGGTGATAAATGAAGGGAAATTAGATCTTAAAATGAAATGAGACTCCCGGACACGTGTCAGTCATTGTGCTGTCCTGTCAGGATTTCAGAGAGAGGACCTGAGTGCTGACATTTTTCAGGCAAGCTGCCCCATCGTTCTCCGTGTGTCGGGGCTGAGAAACCCTGCAGAAGCTGGCACGGTGCACCTTCCGTGTTACAGGTGTGCATTCACGTGCGTGTCCTTGAGGACAGATGTGCCGGTAGCCTGGGCTTCTGTGGGTTTCCGCCTCGATGAGGAAGGCTTGTCGACAGGCTTGGCTGTTGCTGATGGCGTAGGTGTCTGTGAAAGAGCTCCAGGTAGTTAGTTACCCTGCAGACTTCTTACACATGGCACTAAGAGGACGTTAAAGCGTAGGTATTCAGAAAAGATGGCTGGACAGGTGTCGGTGGGTTCTGGTGTTGTCTTGGGTGGAACTCTTGACCTGCAGGAGCTGCTGTGGAATTACGCTGCTGCTTTACCGGGGGTGGTAAACTCTGTCTAGGTAACGGAGCGACACTTCTGTGTTTGTTTCAAGAAAGTAAATGTACTGAAAGAAACAGCTAAATTGACAGTGGGAGAAGAAGAAAATCAGCTCTTGTGTTTCCTTGCTAAGCGACGATGTTTGTTCGAGTGGCACGCACTCTTGGTTCCGTCGGTAGCAGCAGTGCAGGTGGAAGTCAGCAGTGCTGGGCTGCGCGTCCTAACTGCGCCTTGTGCGTGGTCTGTTTACAGTGTGAGCTGCTACAGTCTGGAAAGAGGTTTCCAGACTAACATTTGATTTTCTTCCTGTTGTTTTAAGAAATTACCTGAATTTTCAATTCATATATCACAATTTTCTTGCTAGAAAGGAGAAACTTTGTGCAGCTTATTTTTAAATGGCAGCCAGTTACTTTTAGATAGCGCCATTGAAATGTGTCACATTTTAGTTTTTTTTCTGTTGTCGTCTTCATTTTGACACTTAGAAATCTTAAAGAAACGTTTAGTGATATTCCAGTTAAAATGTCAGTCCCAATTTCTTTTCTAAATCTTGACTATCATAGAGTTGGCAAAGTATTTTAGATTTGAAATATGTTAATAAAATTTAGTTATAAGTTAAGGTATTTTTCTTCAACAGAAGTAGCTAGCTCTGACTAGAGTGTGATGCCAAGCGAGTGACTCCTTTATTTTGTTATAATGGAAGCTTATTGGATTAGAAAAAGTATGAAATGAGCTGAAAAAGCCTTCATTGTAGTGAGGCTTTCATTATAATAGTCTGATTTATATGGTTGATTCTCATTATTATAAGTCTAATAAATTATTGCCTGAAGGAAAACTTGAAAATTAAAGTTGATATGACATAGGTTGAGGCTGAATAAATCAGAATTTTATACAGAGGATACTAAGCCAGGATTTGTCTTAGGAGCACCTTCTCAAAGCTGGAGTTATTAATGAGCTCTTCTGAAGCGCTAGCCCTTGGAGGTCCCTTAGCACAGTTTGTTCCTCTCCTTGCTTCATTGGTGCTGTGCCTGCTGCAGAGGCTCTGTCCTCAGCCCCTGGCTGGGAAGAAGCGCAGTGTCTTTGGGTTCCTCTACTGCCAGGAAGAGAACTGTAGGTCGTGGCCCGAAGCAGAAGGCAAGGTCTGGCCCTCCCACTTCAGGACGATGGTCAGCTCCTGGTTCCTGAGCTGTGCCTGTCTCCTGCAGGGTGGTCACCTGGGCCCGTAAGGCAGGCTTGTTTGCAGGTTCTGTGTGGGCTCTGTCTCGTGCCCGTGTGAGGCTACATGGTGCCTGACTGCGGGCTGGCTCGCCAGGCTTCACGAGAAACGCTCACCTGGGAGGAGACAGTTGGTGAGAGAGGCATTATCTAATCCTCAGGAGTTGCCTCTGCGACAACCGAGGGCATCTAGAATGAAAAAAAGGATGTATTTTAAGTATTTGCAAAAGGCATCCCTAGTAGCTGAAAACTGTGTTATTTTCCTAAGAGTGTTCCCACTTAGACCATGGCGTTACCAGTTCACCTGCTGAGTGTCTGAGTCCTGAACCTCAGCTGCTTAGCGATTCTGTCCAATAACTTCTGCCTGTACTGCCTCAAAGAAAGGCAGCTCTAAGGTTGGCTTAGATCTGTCAGCTGCTGCTTTCTTTAGTTTTTACTGCTTATAATTTCTGAATCCCAGTAAGCAAGATAATATCCAACACAAAATACCAAATATAAAATACTAACAGTGATAATCTGATAAGTTTGCTGTTTAGAAAGTCCACAGAATTCCAGGATGTTTCCTGCCTGTCTGTATATACTCAATAAAGTAAAATTCTAACATACTATTATTTTTTGTTGTTGTTTATGCTAGTACCTTTTTGTGAATGCATGCTTCTTCACAAACCATTTTAATTGTTACCATTCCTTAACCATGAAGTGAAAGTAGAGCAGTAAAGGTGGTGGGAGACTCTGTTATGAAGCTCCAACTGGAGCTTAGCATGAAGTTCCCACGTGGGAAGTAAGGCCCTGTGCTGTGTGGTCTGAAACCATGCAGTGAGTCCAGGAGGTGAGGGGGCAGTAAATGAGGCTGCTCTCCCCAGGACCCCCCTCTGTGGGGAGGTCGGCTTCTCTAGACAGAACTGTCATGAGAAACAGGAAAGAAGTGGGGCTTTGCCACTAATTGGTTAAGTCGGATATGGAAATTTTATTAAATCTCAGAAATACCGTGTAGCCCCTTGGTGATACACTTAACATGGTTGCTGATCTTTGCTTAAGGGAAAGCTTAATAAAGATGAAAATTAGCTTAAAGGTTTTCTTAAACTTGTGCAAAGACTGAGCTGTATGTCTGATTTTTGTATAATTTATCACTTATAGAAATAGAACTTGAGAGAAATATAAGGCTTATGGACTATTCTGAGAATATCTGAAACATGTCTAAGGGTTTTGACTTAATCTTTAACACAGTTATAAAATTAAGTTATCAGAATTATGTTGTTTGGGAGGAAAAGTTGATTTGTTAGTCTATTTTGGAGGCTCACTGAAAATAACTCAGTATTGCCAGTACTAATTAACTCTTATATTTTAAGGAACCCAGTGACAATGGACCTCTTTTTACTGAATTAAAGTTCTACCAACGAGCTGCTAAGCCAGAGCAAAGTAAGAAATACAGTATGCATATACTTATAGCTGTAAAGAGACAAATGTGTGTTGTTTTGTTTATCCCAAGAGTAATAATAAGCATTTTATCTTGTGACCCCCTTGTTATTTTTGCTTTATAAATAATGAGAGTTGTATGAGGGCATTCTGACCTCTGGATGGGTTTGTTGTGACAAGATTTCACCTGAATTGTTGCATAGAATCATGCTAACAAGTGACTGTGAAAATGTCAATCTGAGAGTTAACCTGATCCATTGGTGTGTGGTCAGAGAGGTCCCAATCTCCTTAAGAGTTTTTCCGAGTTCTGGAGCCCGTGACCGTGGGGGAAGGCGTAACTGAGGCAGTGGAAGGGAAGTCTCCCTGTGGGCCCTTTGTGGCTCCGGCCTGTGCTTCAGCTGAGTCGGAGCGCCGAGGAGGGCTCCTGCCCCAGGGACTGACTTCCTTGGCTGGAGGGGAGAAACCCCACAGATCGGGATAAAACAGAAACGCTGTGAAAGCCTCTGTATGTTGAGGTCATTGGAAAGATGAGCTGCAATTGCAGTTATGTGATTTTGATTTTGAGTTTTCAAAACTCTCGGCAGATTTTTCATTTTTAGGATGATGTTGAGGGCAGGATAACAATTTTGAAGGTTAAGATATGCTTGGACTGTAAAATACTTTTGTTGGTTATGCCTTTATTGTATATTGCCTTTTTAAAAATAAGTACAAGTGAAATCTTGTTGCATATAGAAGTACATTATGTTTAGAGCGTTGTTGAAGCAATTGTTATTTGTGCATGACACCCGAGGTCACCAGCATCTGTTTTGATTTGTAGTTCAGAAATGGATTCGTGCCCATAAACTGAAGTACCTGGGTGTTCCTAAGTATTGGGGGTCTGGTCTACACGATAAAAATGGAAAAAGGTAAAAACTGCAGAGTTTTTCTTCTTATTTTTTTGAGCATTCTCTGTATGGTTGGTTTAGTCAAGAGTTACTTACTGAAAGCTCGGAGCGTCGCTCGCTCTGGGCCGGGCCCTGTGGCGTGTGCAGGAGACCCAGACGAGCGAAGTGCCCTCTCCCTCGTGCCCGCCCTGCTGGGAGGGGCGCCTCTCGGCAGCAGCACCAGAGCAGAGCCTGCTGGCAGGTAGGACAAGGTCTGTTTTTCTTTCCTGCCCTTCAGGCATGATACACAGGAGAACCCTAGGCTCCCGCTTGTGTCCTCTTGCCCCCTTGCCCTCCTCCTCTGGCACATATGTCCTAGTACCCAGAGAGAGGCAGGAGGCAGGACCACCTCTTGGGAGTTCGATTTTGCTGGCAAGGGAACCTTTCCCCGGAATTCTATGGCAGGCTTCCTGGTGTTGTCTTGGTTAGAATTTTATCAGTGCTGTTTTTATTATTTTTTTTTTCTCTAAAATTTTATTTGTGTGTTTTTAAAGGCAGTCTTAGAGTGAGATCTGTCTTTCATGTGCTGGCTTACTCTCCAATCGGCTGTAATGGTTGGGGCCAGGCCAGACGAATTCAGGGCCAGGAGCTTCATCCAGGGCTGTCACTTGGCGCCCAAGCAGTTGCACCAACTTCCATTGCTGTCAGGGGCATTAGCAGGGAGCTGGATTGGAGCTGGAGCAGTCAGGACTCAAACCAGCACAGTGTGATACCAGCATCGCAGGCAGAGGCTTAGCCCACTGTGTCCCAGTCCAACTTCGAGTGCTATTTCTCAGACCAGTCAATGACCAGGTGAAGTGACCCCAGAGATTGGTTCGGTGAAGCGTGAATGCCCTGGAGTGGGATGGTTTCCTGTTAGAGCACAGAAAGGTCGGGTGATGGGATAGGCAGCCAGTGATGCTTACTTGGGGTTTGCACATTTCTTTGCACACTTTGTTTTGTTGTATCTGATTTTGTTGGAGGAAGTTTCCAACAACCAGGTTGCCTGGTTTCAGATCCGTGCTTTGCCCCTTAAAATGCTTGTGACGTGTGAGTGGCTTCTTTTTGACTCAGTTTCCCCATCATGGTTATGAGTTGCTTTGTGGATCGCTTCTGTTTGGGAACAGTGGTGCAGTTCCTGGGGCTTCTCACAGGCTGCTGGCACATGTTACCGCATGTAGTCATTCTTTGAAAGGCAGAGTGACAGAGAGCGAGAAGTCATCCATGTACTTTTCCATGTGCCAGATATCTGCAGTTGCCTGGGCTGGGCCAGGAAATGCTCCCTGGGCTCCCACATGGGTGGCAGGGGTCCAAGCACATGGGCCATTGTCTGCTGTCCTCACAGCTGGAGGGAGCGAGCAGTCAGCTCACATCAGCCCTGTGATGTGTTATGCTGGTGTGCAAGGCAGCGCCTAACTGTGTGCCAGCCCCTCCAAGCGTGTTCTTAGGATAAGAGTCAGAACTTCTGTGTGTGTTGGTGGCAGAGGAGCTGGTGCTGTGGCCTCAGTGAGGAGAGCAGGGCCTAAGAGCTGACTGTAGGCTGACTTTAAGGTGTCTGCTGAACATAACTTCAAAGTTAGCTTCTTGGGGTGGATCAGAGGTACCCTGGAGTGCCAGCTGGAACTAGACACAATTGCCAGTCTCTACTCACTGCTGACTGGTGGTGAGCTTAACACTCAGCCCATTTCATTTATAAAATGAGGTTGTTAGAAATATGTTCTTCAAGCTCTAGGATGTGACTGAACTGGCTAATCCTCTGCCTGCAGCTGCTGGCATCCCATATGGGTACTGGTTTGTCTCCTGGCAGCTCTGCTCCACTTCTCATCCAGCTCCCTGCTAATGTACTGCTGTTCCAAGGCCAGACACCTTGGAGACCTGGAAGAAGCTCCTGGCTCCTGCTTTTGGATTTGGGGAGTGAACCAGCAGATGAGAGATCTTTCTGTCTCTCCTTCTCTCTGTAAATCTGTCTTTCCAATAAAAATAAGTAAATCTTAAAAAAAAAATGTGTTCTTCAAAATAATCAGTGTATGAGGCATTGATACACTTTTTCAGTGGAAGCTCTTAAAAAGTCATTATAAGTCTTTGAGAGAGAAATAGGATATAAGAATGCTCTGTTCCCCTCCCCATTGGAAATCTCTGTCTAACTCGTTTAAATTAATAAATACAGTGTTAAGATTGTAAAAATATTAGCATTCTTATGTTATTTTTACTGATTTATATTTTCTCATTTCTTGCATCATTTTATCCATGTTCCCAGAAAATATGTACAGTTCCGGGTTTTACTTGAGAGGAGTAATTCAGAAATAACTTTTGTTTTACTGCGCAATGGTAGTGTGGGAACAGTTTCTATGCAACTTATGGGCTTTTGCTTTAGTTGATGGGATGGATGAGGGGCTTGTTTGGAATAGTGGTGGGGTGATGTGGATGCAGACGGAGAGTGCTCCCTGGGATGTGGCTGTGGGCCGTGGAGAGTGCTCCCTGGGATGTGGCTGTGGGCCGTGGGGAGTGCTCCCTGGGATGTGGCTGTGGGCCGTGGGGAGTGCTCCCTGGGATGTGGCTGTGGGCCGTGGAGAGTGCTCCCTGGGATGTGGCTGTGGGCCGTGGGGAGTGCTCCCTGGGATGTGGCTGTGGGCCGTGGGGAGTGCTCCCTGGGATGTGGCTGTGGGCCGTGGGGAGTGCTCCCTGGGATGTGGCTGTGGGCCGCGCGGAGTGCTCCCTGGGATGTGGCTGTGGGCCGCGCGGAGTCGAGCAGCTACCTTACTCCCCTCTGCTGCTCTCTGCAGGGCGTGTGTGTTGTCTGCATTATTGTTATTAAAATGACACGCCGTTTGTAAAAGCAAACGTGTACCATGTGTTCTGATGTCTTCTGATATGCAAATCTTAGAGAGTGGGGACATTTAACATGCACTAACACATTAACACATTTTACTGCAAACTAATTGCTTGGCTGACCAGAACTGTAAACATTTTATTTATTGAAAGATCTTTAGATGATTTCTCAATTTCCTCAAGTTCAGAGTCAGAATTCTAGATTTAAAACACTTTGTAATAACACATAATTGTACATATTTATGAGTTTGAATCCTGAATATTTCACTTGGCATTTTGCCATTTATTGGAAAAATGGAGATGCATCGACACCAGCACACGTACACACAGGGACACACGTATGAGGAGTTCCTGTTTGCTGGTTGACTCCCCGAGTGCCCACTGTGGCCAGGGCCAGGCTAAGGTTGAAGATGGCAGCCCAGGTCTGGCCTGTAAGTGGCAGGAAGCTGGTTCCTTGACCGGCACTGCTGTTAGCCAGTTGGTAGGGAGCTGGAGTAGGGAGCTGGGGCCGAGAGTTGGAGCCAGGGACGCCAGAATGGAGGGCATCATGACTGCCAGGCCGTGGGAATGCAGTTCATTATAAAGGCACGGCATGTAAGCGGGCTTTTGTTATTATTCTCCCTGTTTGTTTCAGTATTGCTGGCACAGTGTGGCTAAAGCTTGGCTTCACCACATCCCAGAGGAGAAGCCACCTGTCGTGTTCATGGGATGATGGCAGTGCCTGCACCTCACGGGAAGGGTTGTGTGTGGCACGTGTCTGAGGTGCGCACAGCGCCCAGGCCGACAGCTCACTCCGTGCTCAGCCCTGTCAGATACGCTGATAATGGTGCATGGGCTCCTGGTTCCCATGGACCGATCCAATGATCGCGTCAGCCAAGATGGAACCTGGAAAACCATCGAAGAAATCAGTACCCTTCCGAGTACCTGCTGCGATGCGCAGCACACGCACTGGGTCTCCTGACCTGCGTGCTGGGAAGGCTTGAGGAAAGGCGAGTGCTGCTGCCCACAGAGACAGTGGGACTTAGCCAAGGCGACACGACTGGTTTTTCACAGAACAAAAAACCTTCACATTGTCGCCAGGTGTTTGTTCTTCCTGTCTTGCCGCTGGTCTCTGACTTACTCTGCTCTCTCACCGTTGAGCGATTTTGAGCGAGTCTCTGCTGTCAGCGTCATTTCTCGGCAGTCTGTTTTGTTGATACTGCTGAAATGCACTTTTAAAATAGAAAAAGATTACTATAGGATGGAAGCTAATATCCAGAAAAATAATTAACTTCCTGAGAAAAATTAGTGCTGTTCTCGCTGCGCTTGTTTTCTGTTCCTGTGGGTGGCTCTCGGATCGTCTGCGGGGAGTGTTGGCAGCAGGAGGGGAGGCCCCCGGTACAAGGACACACAGCAGGCGGGGCCGAGTGTCGGATGCTCACGTTTCCCTGCTTTGCTTCAGAATGCTAACTTACTAAACTTTACCTTGGAACAAATTACTCTGAAAGATTACTCATTGCCAAGTGGGTTTTTCTCACTTATATTATGTTCATTGACTTTTCTTGTTTGTCTTCAGTTACAGGTTTATGATAATGGATCGCTTTGGGAGTGACCTTCAGAAAATATACGAAGCAAATGCCAGAAGGTTTTCTCGGAAAACTGTCTTGCAGCTAAGCTTAAGAATTGTGAGCTATGTGCCGGTTTTTGAATAGTCAGGGCTGGCCCGCGGGAGCTCGGTCCTCTGCTGGTGGGTGTTGGGTACTGCACTGACTTGTCCTGTGTGACGCTCCGCAGCTGGATACCCTGGAGTACATTCATGAACACGAGTATGTGCACGGAGACATCAAGGCCTCGAACCTGCTCCTGAGCTACAGGAACCCCGACCAGGTGGGTCCGCAGCCTTAGCTCCGCTCTCTCAGGGGCTGCGGGAAAGCAGGTGTGGCTGCTTTGAACTTTTGAACCTGTGCACAAGTTTCAGTTTTTGAAGTAGATTTCGTAATAATAATATTTCTTCTTGACACTTTTATCTAGTTAACATTCTCCTTTTTGATGCTGTTTGTTGGCACTTTATCAAGTTGGCTATTTTGCTCTAAATAATATTCAGGAGAAGTACTTGTGATACAAAATGAATTTCAAATAGCTTTTTGGGAGTGGAAGCTTAAAATTATATAGTACACCAATGAATTATGTTTGCCTGTCTGCTTGTCATTTTTTTATTTCCTTTGTTCAAGGAATCCATCAAGTGTAAGTGTTCTGTTACTTGGAAAATTTGGTCTTTAACATGTTGATTATTCAGATCAGTACTTAAGTCTGTACACGCTTACTGTTTAGAATTCCCATGTGCGTTTTTTTTAAAAGTTTATTACATTTCTTGTGTAATATATTTTCTAAGGAAAGAAAAAAAAAAGCTTGTTTCTGGTGTTCTGCCTTCGTCTGGGTCAGTTTAGGTGGAGCGCAGGGATGTGCAGTGTCCTCTGCCTGTGGGCAAGTAGGGGGTAGCTGGCACCCACAGCTGCTCCACGCCGCTCCACTGAGGGGCGTGGAAAATAGTGCTTAAAAAAAAGCAGTGTGTTATCAGTGGCACTTTGTCTAATTTTGTGTGGGTGTTCTGTATTGTTTTCTTTCTGTCTTGCCTAATCAGTTGTGGTGATACAGCAGGAAGTGGCAGTGCTTGTGTGCATGTGGGACAGGCGGGCACGGTGCCCTCGGCTCTGCTCAGCCATCCTGTCGGAGGTGTTCTCTTGCAGAAAGAAGTAGTTCAGAACCTGGACACGAAGGCTGCTGTTAATGAGACTGATGACAGTTTGTGTTTGGCCTTGGTCTGCAGGCAGTGTGTGGCTCAGTCACCCTTCAGCACGTGCTCTGTTAGGGCTGTGTTTCAGTGTTGTCTCTGCGTGCTGGCTTCCTCCCGTGCACAGCTGCCTCCGTGTCACAGTTACCAGAAGAAGCTGTAGTGTGTGGCTGTGGAGAAGAAGCAAGCTAGAATTACTTTGTGTGCTAACCAGACCTACATGTATGTGCTGGTAGATATTTGTGGATATAATATTAAATTCAGTTTTAATTATGAAGACTTGACTTTAACAAATAGTATTTAAATGTAGGTAAAGGACTCACCTAAACATTCTTCTGGAATATTTTATGGAGTAAGTTAGTATTTGGGACCCTGCACCTGCGTGGGAGACCTGGAGGAAGTTCCTGGCTCATGGCTTCTGATCGGCCATTGGGGGTCTCTTGGGGAGTGAATCATCAGACGAAAGATCTTCCCCTGTCTCTCCTCCTCTCTGTATATCTGACTTTCCAATAAAAATAAATAAATATTAAAAAAAAAAGCAGTGAAAAGCCAGAGCTGGACTGTGGCCCCTCGTCCCCTCAGTGTGTCCCTCGTCCTGGATGGGGTGAGCTCTCAGTGGAAAGTGGTGACGGGATTACATCCGTTTGATGTTTAGTTTTGTTTTGAACATTTTTGTATGAGAAAGTATCAGATATATAATTCTTGCACAAGTTGAGCAAAAGAGTAATTACAAGGATAGTACAGACTTGCCCAGCGAGTGTGTAAGTCAGGTGAGGCTGTCTGAATGAGTCACGTGGCGGGTTAGCCTTTTTGCAAACAGCCCTTCAGAGCTCAGTATTTGTTGTTGCTTGGACTTTGGGTCTCACGTGTTTAGAAAGTTGGAGTATAGTCTGGTCTTGCTGCATCCCCATGACAGTATTTGGTTTCTGTGCTTTAATGATTTGGCTTCAATTTGTCTTGCTTGGAAATTTGTAGGTGTACTTGGTAGATTACGGCCTTGCTTATCGCTACTGCCCAGATGGAGTCCATAAGGAGTACAAGGAAGACCCCAAAAGGTGCCATGACGGGACCCTGGAGTTCACCAGTATTGATGCGCACAAGGGCGTGGGTATGTCAGCGTTGTCCAGGGAAGAGGCGCATTGCTAATACTTTTCACCAAGTTCTACCCAGTTCTGAATTACGTAAAAATCCGTAGATAAGTTAGCAGCTTAAGACCTGGAGATGGGGACGCGGTCCAGGTCACATAGTCACATAACAGGGCCGTCTGCTGTTCCCTCTCCCATCCTTCCTCCCGCTCTCAGGAAACCTCAGGGGTCATTATTGCAGCTGCTAGCAGGGTTTCTTTCTACTTGATTTTGCTTAAGCAGAATGTGTCTGTTTTTTTGAAAACCTGTACATTTCTGATGCAACGTGGTTTTGTGTCAGATGGCTTCTATCTTGTTACATGCTAAGTTAGCTTGTTTCTTTAGCAGTCATTTTGTTTTCTGGTGTACAACACCAAAAGATCTTAACCTCCCAGTATTTTTAACTTCTTTATAATATGCAGCACTTTAAGTATTTCAGAATAATCTGAGGGCAATATTAAATGTGTCATTGTTTTATAATTCACTTCCTAGACTAAGAGTTTTAGTTTGAAACCAGTTGGAATTTTAAAATAAATTATTGATTATATGTAGTATTTTTTAGATACTACCCAGTGTTAATCAAAAAATTTTGATTAAATGCAGTCAAAATTTTGTGATAACATAGACTTGGTTTGGACTTAAATGTACTTGAACTTGGCTCCTAAGCATTGTCTCAGTATGCCTCATGTGTTTGTGTTTGTAGCTCCCTCGAGACGTGGTGATCTGGAGATCCTCGGATACTGCATGATCCAGTGGCTTAGTGGTCGTCTTCCTTGGGAGGATAATTTGAAAGATCCTAACTATGTCAGAGATTGCAAAATTAGGTAAAGGAGAACCTAAAATAAATGATTTGGGGCAAAGTCAGGATAAAGAAAATGTAGTTAGAATTTCTCTGAAGAATTGTATTTTTACCTGATATTAGTATAGAAATAAGAAAATGCTTATAAAACACTAAAATTCTTTTTTGTTCAATTTATTTTATTATTTTTAAAAAAGATTTATTAACATGAAAGGCAGAATGACGAGTCAGTTGATCTTGCACCAGCTAGAATATTGCCTGACAAAAGCGAGGTGTGAACCAGGTGTGAGCCAGGTGTGAGCCAGGTGTGAGCCGGGTGTGAGCCGGGTGTGAGCCAGGTGTGAGCCAGGTGTGAGCCGGGTGTGAGCCAGGTGTGAGCCAGGTGTGAGCCGGGTGTGAGCCTGGTTGAAACCAGGAGCGGTGTCTTGCTGTCCTGTGTGGATGGCAGGGACTCAGGCTCTTGGGCTGCCTTCCCTGCCTTCTCAGGTGTGTGAGCAGGAAGCTGGAGCTGAGGCTGAGTAGCTGGAGCTGGGACTGCTGCCTGTAGATTGGTTGCTGGCATCGCAGCTGGCAGCTTAATGTGCTGTGCCGAGGTGCTGGGCCCTGCTCACTTTAGAAGACTGTCATGTTTAGGATGTAATAAAAGGCTGCTTAGTGTGGTGTTTGTTCTGGTTAGATATTAATAATAATGAAGATATTAGTAGTGTGACATTCAGCTTCACATAGTGTCTCATTCTTTAATTCCAACAGGTACAGAGAAAATATTGCAGGTTTGATGGACAAATGTTTTCCTGATAAAAACAAGCCAGGTAGGAAAAGTTTCTTAAAAATGCATAGAGTTGTGTCCTGTTGCCTCAGGAAGTGTGGGAGGGTGTTAGGGAAGAGGTGGGGCGCGTACGGGCTGTCCGTGAGAACCTGGCGTTCAGTGGGATCATTGTAGGAAAGCCTGCTTGATCCCAAAGGCGAGCTGTTGAGTAATTGAGTCTGATTCAGTTACTAAGTATTTTCAGCAAAGAATGCAAGTTTCATTCATTCTCTTACCTATTTATTGAGACTCAATTTTGTGTCAGCAAGTAGGCATTAGTTATATATCATTGAACGCATCAATTAAAGACCCCTGAAACTAACATTTTAGCTGGGAGGGACAGAGAATGAGTGAACTTTACAGTGAGGTGTGTGATTAGTTCTGTGGAAGAAGAATAAATCGGGGAATAGAACTGGGGTGTGGGGATGGAGGGCAAAAGAGGCCTGGGTTTTAGAGACCAGGGACCACCTCGCCGGGGTGTTACAGGAAAGAGGAGGGAGTCCTGGCAGGGCTGGCAAGGGCAGCTGGGGCAAGGGCATCGTGCCTGTGGCCTTGAGGAGCGCGTCCTCTCTGTCGGCCGTGAGGCGGAGCCTTTGCTCTGAATGAGTGCTGGGTTTCGGGGAGAAGAGTGACATGCGTGTTCCGTTCTCTTGAGGGGATCTTTCTAGTGTCGGTTGGGGGTCAGGAGGGACTACAGGAGCCTGGAGGGAGGTTAGGCGCCCGTCACTGTCTCAGCTGGGGAGGCCACAGAGAGGGAGGAACAGGGACTTAGTGTGGAAATAGTTAAGAGACACAGAAAGATCTTCCGTCCACTAGGTCATTCCCCAATGGTCACAGTGGCCAGAGCTGAGCCAATCTGAAGCCAGGAGCTTCTTTCAGGTCTCCCACCCAGGTGCAGGATCCTTAGGCTTTGTGCCAGCCTCTGTTTTCCTAAGCTAGAAGCAGGGAACAGTATGGGAAGTGGGCAGCTGGGATATGAATTAGCGCCCATGGGGAGGCTGGCATTTGCAGGTGTAGAATTTGCCCATTGAACCATCGCACCAGCCCCTAGAAGCCTTTTCCAGCTTGCTCTGCTTCCCTGTTTCAGGAGGTCTACCTCCACCTTACGCTGTTGGGGACTGCAGTCTGCCTCTCACGTCAACAAGTGCACTATGGTCTTCCCAGCAGTGCCCTGTGCGCTCACTGAGCGGGAGCCTCTGGCTTCACTGCCAGCGCGACTGTTTTTGAATTTATAGGAATGAAGTAGATAGAAATCCTTGTCTTTTTTTTTCTTGGACTCAGTATTAAATTTGAAATTCAACATCATGATGATAGGTCTGGCAGTAGTTTGTTCCTTTTGAATTCAGTATAGTCTTCCATTCTACTAATAGACCAGTGTTTATTTATCCTGCTCTTGGGTTTCCAATTTTTGGCACTAACAGATTGCTAATTATACATACAGACATAATTTACATATAATACTTTATATATAATGTATAATAAGAGTAGAGAGTTATTTCTTTTTTTTCAAGATTTATTTTATTTGAAAGGCAGAGTTAAGAGGAAGAGAAGAACGGGTCTTTATATTCCTTGGTTGTCAAACAGGAAGCAAGTTGGAACACTTCTATTACATGAAACATCAAGATTCCATTGTATTATTTAACAAATGTAATTATTTTCTATGTAAGTAATGATTCTTAAAATCATAAACTGTTTTAAACCACCTTCTTAAGATGAGAGTGACAGACACAAAGCTGTACATATTGAATGTCTGGTTCAGTCCCCAAATGGATACAGTGGTGATAGCCGGGCCAGGCCAAAGCCAGAAGCCAGGAGCTTCTTCCTTGTCTCCCACGTGGGTGCAGGGCACAAGCCGTTGGGCCATCCTTCACTAGGCGTATTAGCAGGAGCTGGATCAGAATGGAGGCAGTTTGGACCCGAATCAGCGCCCATGTGGGATGCTGGCATTACAAGCACTGGCCTTGGAGGGTCCATTTCCTTCTTTACTTTCCAATTTGTACCCAGTTGGTGCCCACAGCTGTTGCTGAAAGGACCAGTGTTTTCCATTGGTGCTTCCTGTGTCCTAAATCAAATGTGGGTCTGTGAATCTGTTTTTGGACTCTTTAATCTATTCTTTCTTGTCAGATTTTTAAAAATAATTAACTTCTGTTTGCTGGTTCATTTCCTAACTATCTGCACAACTAGTCTGAGCCTGGCTGAATGCAGGGACTGGAAATTTCTATCTAGGCCTCCACCTTGGAAAGCTGCCTTCTGGGGTCTGTGTCAGCTGGAGGCTGGAGTTAGGAACAGAGCTGGGACTCTGGGGTCTGTGTTAGCTGGAAGCTGGAGTTAGGAACAGAGCTGGGACTCTGGGATCTGTGTTAGCTGGAAGCTGGAGTTAGGAACAGAGCTTGGACTGTTAACACAGGCAGCCCAAAAGGAGTCATGCCTTAACCACTGTGCCACATGTGGATACCACTGTGTTTTGCCCATCCATTGTTGAGCTATACTGTCTCATGGTAGCTTTGTTTTAGGTCGTGATTCCTGGTAGTTTGTAGATTAGTACTGTTTTCTTTAAACTTGATTTTCTACTTTGATATTTTGGGGTCTTGGCATTTCTGACCCTAACCTTGTGAGTCACATGTACCAACACCCACACATACAATCCCCCCTGCCCACATGGGTTGCTGGAACTAGACTGGTTGGGGGCACTGACAACTAGACTAGTTGGGGCACTGACAACTAGACTGGTTGAGGCCCCAACATTGCATGTTTTGTTAAGTCTTCTGCCTCACTAAAGTGGGATGAAGTTTGGTCTTAAAATTCCTCTGAGCTATTTACAGTCTCAACAAAAATCTCACTCATTTTATTTTACTTGTTAGATATTTGAAGCTTTTTGATGCTATTTTAAGTGGTAGCTTTTAAAATTTTGATTTTCCATATTGCTTTTCTATAGAACTGAGTTAGTTGGGTTTCTGTTTGTTTTACATCTTGTAATCTTGCTAACTTTTCTGACTCTGGTAGTTTTTATAGATTGTGTAGGTTTTATGTGCACTCTCATGCTGTTTGTCCCACTCCTTGTGCCTTCTCTTCCCTCCTGCTCTTTGTACTGGTTGAAAGCACCCAGGACTGTGTGACATGAATGGAAGCGTTGAGGTGGCAGGAGTCGGCTCTCCGGCTCCAGGGGAGTTCAGTGTCTGGCCGGCACTGTGTGGTGTTTGTGCTGTGCTTTCTCTGGGCCTCAGTCATCAAGGAGGAAAGCAGTAGTTTGGGATGAGTTTGGAGAACCTATGGCTGTTCTTGCATGCGTGAATGTGGCCGTGTGACAGTGGCACCGACCGTGTCTTCTGATGGGTGGGCTGTGGTTCGGGGCTGAGGAGCTAGAGGGATCCCTAGGGAAGAAGGAGGGGCAGTTTAGGGCAGGAGTCAGGCTTGGGGCTGCTGGGCTGGCGCGGTGACAGTGACAGGCCACGCACTGCACCCCCGGCAGTGGGCAGAGTGTGTGTGTCATCAGCCAACAGGCAGGCGTGGGTGTTGGCCAGTGGGCCTGCCGCAGTGCACAACAGCCCTTGTTAGCGTCCAGAGCGTTTTTCCGTCATGGGAAAACCAGTCTTGTTTCTTTCCCTTTCTTATCCTGGTTTTTGTTTTTTCCCCTCATTTATACAAAGAACACAGTCATGAGCCATACAACTGATGTCTTCTGTGGCTTGATATACTCATTATAATCAGACACGTTTTACTCTCACAATATTTATTTTAGGTCCTTTTTGTTTTTCATAGCTTTAAATGATTGTTTTTAATGCATATTTAATTATGTGTTCCGTCTTATTGTTCACAGTTATGAAAGTGTTTGTACATTTATCTTAAAAAGTTTGACTTATTTGTTGATTCCCGAATTTGCAGTCATATTTTTGAAATGATTTTAACTGTTTCATTCTAACCTGATTCTGTGAGTCATTAGAAGATGAGATAAGATCAGTCATTAGAAGATGGGCTTGTGATTGAATTTTATGAAATGATTTGGTCATTTTTAGGTGAAATTGCTAAGTACTTGGAGACAGTGAAGTTACTGGACTATACTGAAAAGCCTCCCTATGAGAATTTACGAGAAATTCTCCTGCAAGGACTAAAAGCTATAGGAAGTAAGGATGACGGCAAACTGGGGCTCAGCGTTGTGGAGAACGGAGATCTGAGAGCAAAGCAGGTGTCCAAGGTGAGTCACTGCGGTTGCCATCGCAGCAGTTACTAGTTTCAGGAAGCTGGAGCCAGTAGCTGTGTGAGCAAAATAACAGCTTGCTGGACAATATAACTCAACTCCTCTATATCAGAACAGTGTAAAGAAATTATAGGAAAATAAATGTTTGTGTATATCTTACACTCAGCAAATGACTGAGTTCTTAGAGTGATTTGAATTGGTGCTAATCTGTGCTGAGGGCATCTGATGGGGCACTCGGGGAGGGAGGGCATCTGATGGGGCACTCGGGGAGGGAGGGCATCTGATGGGGCACTCGGGGAGGGAGGGCATCTGATGGGGCACTCGGGGAGGAGCGCACGCCCTTCCTCCCAGGTCCCCTCCGAGGGCTTCCTGGTTTGTGGAGACGGTCGGAGTGCTTCCCCATTAGGAAGTTGCTTGCATGGATGGTGTGGTGTGCCTGCCACTTGAACGTCACTTTGCCCCATGAGCATATTTGTGACTATAAGGAATTTCAGTTTTTGGAGAGAAATGTTAAGAAATAATAAACTCAAGGTAGAAATATTGTGTAGGCGAGAAAAAACTCTTCATACCATCTTAAAATGTGGATTTTATAGACATGCATCCCTTATTTACTTATTATTAACTGCTTGTAATAATTAACTGGTTTCCTTTATAATCTGAAGTTATCTAGTAAAATGTGTTAGCTGTTTTTATGTGGGTTAAGAAAGCTATTTTCTGAAAAATATTTTTATTAACTGTTTTGCTCTGTAAATTTCAGAATTCTTAGGAAATCTCATATTCCAAGCAATAGGAAAAATAGTTTAACATTTTTTTTTTGTTTTAAAATCAGAAAAGAATATTATTTTGTTAGGTCTTTTTAACTTACAGAGGAGATAGGGATTTCAAAATTGGATCATGAATTGAACTTTCTTAGGCAAATAGCAGGTCTCTGTAATTCCATTACAGAATCTGAAATTACCACCTTCATCTGTGTATTTCTTGCTATCACAAGTTCTGTCTTAATTGCATTTGCTTCATTTCTGTGGACCACAAGTAGGTTTCAAACCACGTAGAGGTTTGAAATGAAATGATGGCAGTGAGTCAAATGTTCCAGAAAAATAGTAAACTTATTTGCAAGCATGCATGCGTGTAACAGCCTGCATCTTGCTGCTGAAGACAGGCTCGCCTTGTTGAGATTTAAGGCCACTTGGCTCCGTGTTTCTGTCTGAAGTGTCGCTGGTTGAGGGGAGGGGTCTCTGGCAGGGAGCACCTCTTCTTGCCTTGGCCCTGCCGCCGGGAGTGGCAGTGGGAGGAGAGGCCATGTCTGCGTCCTGGCTGACTTGAGCCACAACAGGTCAGCTTGCTGCAGAGCCAACATCTGTGGACCCCCCTCGCCCCCCATGGCTGCACGCTCAGGTCAGCTTGCTGCAGAGCCAACATCTGTGGCCCCCCCTCGCCCCCCCATGGCTGCACGCTCAGGTCAGCTTGCTGCAGACCCGCTAGTGGATCGTCCCTGCCCGAGTGCAGCTTACGGCTCCAGCCGGCGCGGGGAGAAGGGCTCTGCTCCGTTAGCTTACTACCTTTTCTGTACTCACTGCTGACATACAGCCATTTGTATCAAAAAGAAATTGATCTTTTTTTCAGCCTTTCTGCATTCTTTTTCTTTTTTTTTTTAAGATGTAAAACTTTTTCCTCAAGTAAACTGTAGATGCCCTTAGCTTTAGTCACTAGGTTAGTACGCCGAACCTGAAACTTATAAATTTACCTATTTGTGTATATAAACATTTGGAGTTAATTAGAATCTTCTTGTGTAAATAAACCCTCCTGACTTCTCAGAAACTGTGTCCTATGTTAGATTTTGTAGTTTTCTTGTTCATTGTGTACTGTATATCGATTAGTTAGTTAACACCCAACTGGTGTCTTTGTTGCTTTTTTCCCTCATATATATCCTTTTTTTTACATTAACTTTGTTTTTTATTGTTAATAACATTGTTTTATGTGATACAGTTTTATAGGTACTGGGATTCCCCCCATAACCCTTCCCCCATGGTGGATTCCTCCACTTTGTTGCGTAACCACAGTTCAAGTTCAGTTGAGATCCTTCATTGCAAGCATATGCCCAGCGTAGAGTCCAGCCTCTTAATGTCCAGATAAGTTCAATGGTATATCCCCTTTTTTTGATTGATTCTTTTTCCGGATTTTGAATGCAATAAAGTCAATATATGTCCTGATTTTTTTTCTTTAAATTTATCTTTGGAAAGGCAGATTTCCGGAGAGAAGGAAGGACAAAGATCTTCCATCTTCTGGTTCGGTCTCTAGATGGCCTTAATGGCCAGAGCTGAGCTGACTGGAAGGCAGGAGCCAGGGGCCTTTTCTGGATCTTCCGAGCAGGTGCAGTGTCCTAAGGCTTTGGGCCATCCTTTACTGCTTCTCTAGGGCACAAGCAGTGAGTTGGAAGGGAAGTGGAGCAGCGAGGATACAAACTGGTGTACTCTTGTGGGATCCTGGCAGATGGAACGTGAGGATTCAGCCACTAGGCTATCACACTGGGCCCAAACCAGTGACTCAAGTGTATAACAAAATGCTCCAAAGGGAACCACTGGATAGATTATACCTACCCTGTGAAAGCAGTGTGTTTGCTAAAAAAATATACATTGCTTTGGGACTAGCAATCAGTGCTGATAACCAAGCAGAAAAAGTGTTTTCTTTTAACTTATTTATTGTGATTGAATTTTCAGATGTATCATTATTTTTTGGCATTTTTGAATGAGTTAACAGTAACTTTAGGTGCCTGCGTTCAGATGGTTATAGTAAACTCTTAACTCTTCACGGTTTTGTCAGAGTGAGAGAAAGTGGGACTGATAAGGACAGATCTTCCAGCCTTCATGTCAACATTGAAGCAGGAAAGGGGGGATGGACAGGGATGATGGCAGCTCGTGTCGGTTCGCTCCCCACATGCCCGCAGCAGCTTGCACTCAGGCTGACGCTAGAAGCCAGGACTCCATCACGTCTCCAATATGGGTAGCAAGAACCCAAGCTCCTGGGCCGCTATCCGCCGAGTCCCCAAGTGCATTAGCGGGAAGCTGGATTGAAAGTTGAGCAGCCAGGCTTGAGCTAGCATTCCCAGATGGGATGCATGTTCCAGGAGGTGAATTAGCCTACTCCGCCACAGCCGCCGCTCTTAACCAGGTTTGCAAATACGTTCTTTTGTAAAACTCTGTCTTGCAGGCATTTTAGTAAGATTTACTTGAATTAAACTTCTTTTGGACTGCAAAGTATAAGAAGGCCAATAACGGCAGCAAAACCGGAATCAACCATTAGCCGTGGTTAAGCATGAAGCTGTGACACACTGCATGTATGTGTGAAGATGCTTTAAAGAGTGAAATTCCATGTAAATTGTGATTGCTTTGCACAATTATTTTTAAAAAGGTTTATTTATTTTTACTGGAAAGGCAGATATACGGAGAGGAAGAGAGACAGAGAAGATCTTCCATCCAATGGGTCACTCCCCAAGTGGCCGCAATGGCTGGAACTATGCCAATCTGAAACCAGGAGCCAGGAACCTCCTCCATGTCTCCCACACGAGTGCAGGGTCCCAAGGCTTTGGGTCGTCCTTGACTGCTTTCCCAGGCCGCAAGCAGGGAGCTGGATGGGAAGCAGGGCTGCCTGGATTAGAATCAGCGCCCATATGGGATCCTGGTGCTTTAGAGGTGAGGACTTTAACCACTATGCTATTGCGCCAGGCCCTGCACAATTATTTTAGAGTACTCAAGGAACACAAAAGGGTTTCTAACAGAGCTTACGTAAGGACTGACTGACAGTTGTAGACTTGACCGTGTGTATGTGTCTCATGTTAGAATGAAGGCTGAGCTTACTCTTGTGCTTCAGTCTGTTTTAGAGTGCGTTTTCACCTTGAGAATGAAGTCTGGAGCAGTGCCATCCACGATGCTTGGTAAACACGTGGGGATGTTCCTCGCTCCGTGTGGCTGGAGGCCCGAGCTCTTGTGCAGTCCTGTTGGTTATGGCTTGGTCACTGGGCGCATGTGCAAGGGCAGTCACGCCGGTGCCCTCTAGGGGTTGTTCTGATTCCGATTCCTCCGTCCATTTATTCATTTCCTAACCCACTTCCTGAATTTTCTTTTCCTGCGAATTGTATCTGACCTTTTCTTAAAATCTGTCTGTAATTATTGATGCCCATTCAAATATCGCAATGTTTGAAGAACTTGAATACCTGAAGCCATCCAGCAGCCCGAGATGCTTCTGGATAAAACAACCTACTCCGCTCAGCAAGGCTCAGGAAACGAGGAACACCAGAGTCCTTGGGTTTCAGAACAGTCTGTACTGAAATAAAAATGCTTCTTAATTCCATTTTTCTGTGAACTTCAGAAGTTCCCCACAGTAGGAAAGAAACGGAAGATGGGATGGTGTGCTGGAGGACACAGCTGTGGGCACGGAGGCTCCGGAGGAAGCTGTGTGGAAGGACAGATGAGGGGGCTGGGAGCTGCTGTTGGGTGCCGGGGGCCTCGTGGCAGGCGCAGTGAAGGACACGCCGCAGGAATGTCTGAGTGCCAGTCTTGTGCCATCACCGGGGGCCGTGCCAGCAACTTCTCCTTGGTGTCTTTCTGTCCATGGAGTGGAATGTTAACTAAATTTACTAAATTGGTAAATGTCCATGTAGAACCTTTGGTTTGCTTTGCCTGCATAGAAAATGTGTCCTGTCTCTTCAAATGTCCTGTTTTTTATTAAGGAGTGTGATTATCATTTGTAGATTATAGATTTGTGTGATGATTTCGAGTGGCCTTAAGCAAGCAGTGCAAGATGGATTGCGGAGTCCTGCCTAGGTCTTTGTAATTGGAGCTCCTGTTCTCCGCCCGCTCGTGGTACTGAATGTGGGAGTGTTGGAGGCTGTACATTCCGAGTTCCAAGTAAACCTGTGAACTTGGCAATGGCCGGAGTACCCTTGTGCTGTGGGTGTGGCTGTGTGCTGGCGACTCTTCTGAGATGCTGTTGACACCATTGGAAGACAGCCTTTGGACGCTGGACTGGGGAAGCAGGGAGATGCTCTTGTGGCCTCTGACAGTTTTTATTGGTTTCTGCTGAAAGAGCTGTGAGTCTGCGCAGTGCAGCCCGGTAGCCAGTTGTGAACCTGAGTGTGCCTCGCCAGCCTGCCTTCCTGTGTTGCCTGGGCGTGAGAAGCGGCTAATATCACGTGTGATGTGTATGCTGACACTCTGAAATCAAAGTAATTTTTGAAGGTATTTTAGCTGTGCTGAATTAGAAGGGAAAAGTTCTCCGTTCAGTCTGTGTTATTGTGTGTTGTGCAGTGTTTCAGTTTCATTTATAAACGCAAAGTCCCCTGGGAGAGGAGTAGATGAGAGAGATTAGTAAAGTTACTCTGTTTTTGTGCAAACAATGTGTGTGTGCCGGGCAGGTCGGGCATGTGGCCTGAAGACTCGGAGAAGGAAGAAGCCGGTGGCCAGTTTGAAATTTTATTTATTGCCTTACAAAATGAATAACGCACTCAGCTACTATTGAATTTGCAGAGTTTGTTTTGTCTTGCCTCTTAATTGGTGGTTTATCGACTGTTGGACTGTCTGCCCAAAATGCATAATGTTGTCAGTAGAGTTAGCTGCAGCTGGCTGGCTGAAGTGTGGCTCGGTGCAGTGCACTGCCTTACCTACGCAGTGCTTAAAGCACAGGTGTTTCTTTTGTTGGTTGAATACTGTCTGATTTTCATTTCTATGTAATTTACCTGCATGGAGATTAAGAAAGCTCCTTTTTATTAAATAAGCTTGAAAACAAGATGAATGCACTAGGTTCTTGGGGTGGAATGTATTGGATAGCTCCTTTTATAATGAGCATTTAAAAATCTGCGCTCAAAAAGCTGGAAAATGCATTCTCTCCTGCATGGAAAGCAATGTAGTACTGGAATATTCCTCCTTAATTTTGATCTGGACGAACAAAAGTGTCTGTGCTTATTCCTGCCTAATGCATCACAGATCTGCTGACATGCTAACCTTGGAGTCCTGGCTGGCGTTCATCAGGCCTGCGCAGCGGCGGGGACCATGTACCTAACGCACTCCATCAGTGCCGTCTGCATATGGAAGCTCTCACAGGGGAGCTGCCCTGTGCCAGCTGAGGGTTACCTGCCCACTGCAGTTATTGTATGTAATTATCGAACCAATCTGTTCAGCCCAGCAGGGTTTAGATGGTAATCATGAAGCAACACTTTGGAGAAGAAAGATGTGAGCTCGCCTCTCCTCTCGTCACTTAGATGAAGTTACCGCCGCCCTGACAGCTATTGTGACCAGCAGTCCCTGCGCAGGCACATCTGCTAAGTGAATGCCTTCTCAGGGCGTGTCAGGTCGCCAAGGTGTCGCCTAGGCATAGGGGAGCCTTTTCTTTATGTGGCTGCCCTGGCCCCGCCCCTTCCGTAGTCACCTTAAGAATGTTGTGATGAGATGGTGGGATTAGCCGTGACACACAGAGAAAACAGCTCTGGCCGTTTCGAGGTTTTAGGGTAGCATGGCTTATTAGAGTCCGGCTCTCCCAGTCGGCTCTGTGGAAGAAAACTCGTTGTCCTGTGAGCGGGCGTTGCCCTCAGCTCTGCTCAGGCAGGCCTGCCGAGAAGACGTTGTCAAGTGGCCTCTGAGGAATGCAGGCGAGGCCACCACGCTGTGAGCCTGACCTCTTGGCCACGTCCTGACTCCCTGAACAGGCTCCAGACTGGCTGCAGGTGCCCACGGAGCCTCGGAATGCAAATGCGGATCTGAACACGCCTGACTATGAATCCGCCTGAAATGAAGTTCTTACGAAAATAGAAACGGAGAAAAGCCGGAGAGAAGCGGGAATTCCAGTGTTGGAGTTCTAGGGGAGCTTCACACTGCTCCTTTCCAGGGCTTTATGTCCCGCTTACCTAATGCTTCAGTAAAACCACCTCAGAAGACAAACATTTACAGTAGTCTTCTGTCACCTGCTAAGCAGTAGAATTTCACCTTCCGTGGTGCTGGTCTGTCCGCGAAGTAAGCGTGTTGGCTGCCTGCTTGCAGCACGCAGCCTTGCTGGGAACGCAGGCGGGCAGTGTCCTGGGCCGAGGGAGGTGAGGGCTCGTTGGTAAGGTGTTGTCTTCCTTCTCAGTCCTGAGAGGAAACGCAGCTTGCGTGAGGTACCCGCACAGGTGTCCCCGCCGTCCAGGCCAGCGTGTGCTTTGGTGCCTGCGCCCCCACCCCCCGTTCCTTCCCAGGGCTTCAGCACGCTGCAGCTTCTTCATGGGTGAGGCCTGTGGTGAAGGAGCTAGTCCTGTATTTGTAACAATTTGAGTTAAAATGAACATTTTTGAGTTCCATTTTTTCAGAAATGTAATTTTTGTGTATGTACTAACCTATGATCACTTTGTACGTTCCTTTATTTCTCTTTTTGAATTTTATGTGTAAGAAGAGAAAAAAAGCAGTGGAGGAAAGTCCAGTGTCCGTTGTCGAAGAGATGGAGTGCTCCAGCTCGCAGACGGAGGAGCCCATGCAGACCCGTGAGTACAGCAGTCCGCCCAGCTCCTCCCTGGGCGCGCAGACTCCCTCCCCTGGAGGAGCTCATTGTTTGCATCCCAGCATCTTGCTTTCATTGCAGCATCTCTGTGCCCGGTGTCGCAGCGGTGCTGTCTGACCTTCTCAGCATACAGTGGGGACAGGGCAGCTGCCCTCATCCTGCAGGTTAGGGACCCGCGGCCTGGAGCGTTTGTGGCAGCTGTGTGGAGCATGTAGTGTGTCGTCTGCTCAGCCTGACTCACAGCTCTGGCTCTTCATGTGCTCGAGACTGCCTCGCTCCACATCCCCTCAGCTGCTTGGCTGTTCCCCAGCAAGTCGGCCGCTTTGCTGTTCTTCTCAACTAGTTATGTGGCAAGGAATTAAAGCTTCATACTATCACTTTGCAAAGTACTTGAAGCAAAAAGCAAAGTGTAAAGTTATTGCTTTGATGTCTTATAAACTGATTCTGAAGATAGTTTTTTGTAAGATTTCTTTTTTTGTTGGAAAGGCAGATTTACAGAGAGAAAGAGAGATCTCCCATCCACTGGTTCACTTCCAAAATGGTCAAAATGGCTGGAGCTGAGCTGATTTAAAGCCAGGAGCCAGGAGCTTCCGGGTCTCCCACGCTGGTGCAGGGTCCCAAGGCTTTGGGCTGTTCTCAACTGCTTTTCCAGACCACAAGCAGGGAGCTGGATGGGAAGTGGAGCAGCTGGGACAGAACCCACACCCATATGGGATCCTGGTGCATGGAAGGCGAGGAGTTAACCACTGAGCCTTGGCGCTGGGCCCTCCTAAGATAACAGAGATGATGCAAGCAGAGGCTGAATCAGGGTTGGCCTTGGGGACAGCATAAATGACCGGTTACTGACCTGGGTTTCCATGGACATGGTTTACTTGACTCAGTGAAGAGAGGTCCAGTTCTGCCCACCATACCATTTAGCAATGACCGGAAAAGCTGTCGCCTGTCTTTCTTTTCTATGTTTTCTGTTTTATTGATCACGACATATTTCATTTGCGATGAACAAGTGTAACTGGTTTTAGCACCGACGCCCGATTGGGCAGGCCGGTTTCTCACATCCCCTTGTCGGGCACACTGTGTGATTAGTGCAAAGCAGAGGTTTCCATTTTCAGACAGTCAACTTCCCCATGATGTCGGTAGCATTTCCTTCATTCTAGATGACGTGTAGAACATCTTGAGGTTTCTTTGTACTCACCCAGATTTTGACGTGTCTGAACAGAGTCTCTGTAACCTCATCAAGCTTTTGAAGCAGTCCCATTTTCCTGCTGCCCACCCATTTGCTGCCGTTTCCCCCCGACCTCCCGTCTGCTCATCTTGTTACTAGGAAGTGAGCACTGCCAAGGAGCCATGCATCGCAGCATGTCCCAGCCAGAGGCTAGCAGCAGCAGCTCTGACAGTGAGTGGGAACAAAACCAAGGGGCATATTTAAGGACAGGATAATAGTTTTGCTTTGAAAAAGAAATCCGTGAAATTTACGGATGGTGCTTTCACCGGGCAAGTTCTGCCTTGTCCTGGTCACACTGACACCTGTTGGGTAGAAGGGGTCACGGCTGGGCGTGAGAAGACACTCGTGGCTTTTCTCTGCTTGCGGCCATTTCCTGAGCAACAGACTGACTTAATTTTGAAGAAAATGATTTTAAATTCTAATGGAATATAAAAAATGCTTTTTATAATCTAAGATTTTAATGTGAGACCCTCATACTGATGGTTTTCTTATGGAAAAAGTACATTCCTGTTTTTCTTACTTGTTAATGACAAAGAGAATAGACTCATATTTTAAAAAATGTTTCATTTCATCTCAAAAGCATAACAATATGGGGAGAGAGGTCTTCCTTCCATTGGACTACTTTCCAAATGCCTGCAACGTCCCAGTTGGGGCATGCCAGAGCGAGGGACCCAGAGCTGCTTCCGGGACTCCACGTGGATGGCAGGGCTCCCAGGATGCGGGAGCCGGGAGCTGCTGGAGAACCGGGAGGCCGGGGCTGTCAGCGCTGCTCTGTTTCACAGTGTGGCTGCCCGAGTGGCAGCATTTTTGCCCTAACTCATAGATATTTGAAGCAGAACAATGTAGGGTGGTTTTGTTTTTGAAAAGCTACTTATTTATTTGAAAGAATTAGAGAGACGGGGGTTGGGAAGAAGAGACACAAGGAGAGCGCTGTCTTCCATCTGCTGGGTCGCTCCTCGAACGGACGCAGTGGCCTCAGCTCGGCCTGACCTTGCCAGGAGCTTCCCTGAGGTCTCCCATGTGGATGCAGGGACCCGAGGCTCTAGGCCATCTGCTGCTGCTTTCTCAGATGCGTTAGCAGGGAGTCGGATCAGAGGAGGAGCAGCCATGACTCAAATCAGTATCCACATGGGATGCCAGCCCCGCAGGTGACAGCTCTACCTGCTGTGCTGCAGTGCCAGCCCCTAGACTGACTTTTTAAGAAAATAAAGAATAATCAAATTTTCCTTTATTCATATAAACTCTTAATTGGATTTCTTGAATGCTTTTTATTTTCCCATTGCAATTCATTTTTTTCCTCCAAAGTACAAGGCTAATTAAGGTATTATTATACTATCAAAATATTCAAAAACGAGAGATTCCATGAGATGGTGACATGTTGCTGCTTCTAGCAGAAAGGAAAGGCTGCCGGCTGTACTGCGGCTGTAACTGCGGCTGTACTGCTGCTGTAGGGAGAGCTGCCGGCTGTGCTGCGGCTGTAACTGCGGCTGTACTGCGGCTGTAGGGAGAGCTGCCGGCTGTGCTGCGGCTCTACTGCGGCTGTAACTGCGGCTGTAGGGAGAGCTGCCAGCTGTGCTGCGGCTGTACTGCGGCTGTACTGCGGCTGTAACTGCGGCTGTAACTGCGGCTGTAGGGAGAGCTGCCGGCTGTAACTGCGGCTGTAACTGCGGCTGTAACTGCGGCTGTAGGGAGAGCTGCCGGCTGTACTGCGGCTGTAACTGCGGCTGTAACTGCGGCTGTAGGGAGAGCTGCCGGCTGTGCTGCGGCTCTACTGCGGCTGTAACTGTGGCTGTAGGGAGAGCTGCCGGCTGTACTGCGGCTGTAACTGCGGCTGTACTGCGGCTGTAGGGAGAGCTGCCGGCTGTGCTGCGGCTCTACTGCGGCTGTAACTGCGGCTGTAGGGAGAGCTGCCAGCTGTGCTGCGGCTGTACTGCGGCTGTACTGCGGCTGTAACTGCGGCTGTAACTGCGGCTGTAGGGAGAGCTGCCGGCTGTAACTGCGGCTGTAACTGCGGCTGTAGGGAGAGCTGCCGGCTGTACTGCGGCTGTAACTGCGGCTGTAACTGCGGCTGTAGGGAGAGCTGCCGGCTGTGCTGCGGCTCTACTGCGGCTGTAACTGTGGCTGTAGGGAGAGCTGCCGGCTGTACTGCGGCTGTAACTGCGGCTGTACTGCGGCTGTAGGGAGAGCTGCCGGCTGTGCTGCGGCTCTACTGCGGCTGTAACTGCGGCTGTAGGGAGAGCTGCCAGCTGTGCTGCGGCTGTACTGCGGCTGTACTGCGGCTGTAACTGCGGCTGTACTGCTGCTGTAGGGAGAGCTGCCGGCTGTGCTGCGGCTCTACTGCGGCTGTAACTGCGGCTGTACTGCGGCTGTAGGGAGAGCTGCCGGCTGTGCTGCGGCTCTACTGCGGCTGTAACTGTGGCTGTAGGGAGAGCTGCCGGCTGTACTGCGGCTGTAACTGCGGCTGTACTGCGGCTGTAGGGAGAGCTGCCGGCTGTACTGCGGCTGTAACTGCGGCTGTACTGCGGCTGTAACTGCGGCTGTAGGGAGAGCTGCCGGCTGTGCTGCGACTGTACTGCGGCTGTAACTGCGGCTGTAGGGAGAGCTGCCGGCTGTACTGCGGCTGTAACTGCGGCTGTAGGGAGAGCTGCCGGCTGTGCTGCGGCTCTACTGCGGCTGTAACTGTGGCTGTAGGGAGAGCTGCCGGCTGTGCTGCGGCTGTAACTGCGGCTGTACTGCGGCTGTAGGGAGAGCTGCCGGCTGTGCTGCGGCTCTACTGCGGCTGTAACTGCGGCTGTAGGGAGAGCTGCCAGCTGTGCTGCGGCTGTACTGCGGCTGTACTGCGGCTGTAACTGCGGCTGTAACTGCGGCTGTAGGGAGAGCTGCGGCTGTAACTGCGGCTGTAACTGCGGCTGTAGGGAGAGCTGCCGGCTGTACTGCGGCTGTAACTGCGGCTGTAACTGCGGCTGTAGGGAGAGCTGCCGGCTGTGCTGCGGCTCTACTGCGGCTGTAACTGTGGCTGTAGGGAGAGCTGCCGGCTGTACTGCGGCTGTAACTGCGGCTGTACTGCGGCTGTAGGGAGAGCTGCCGGCTGTGCTGCGGCTCTACTGCGGCTGTAACTGCGGCTGTAGGGAGAGCTGCCAGCTGTGCTGCGGCTGTACTGCGGCTGTACTGCGGCTGTAACTGCGGCTGTACTGCTGCTGTAGGGAGAGCTGCCGGCTGTGCTGCGGCTCTACTGCGGCTGTAACTGCGGCTGTACTGCGGCTGTAGGGAGAGCTGCCGGCTGTGCTGCGGCTCTACTGCGGCTGTAACTGTGGCTGTAGGGAGAGCTGCCGGCTGTACTGCGGCTGTAACTGCGGCTGTACTGCGGCTGTAGGGAGAGCTGCCGGCTGTACTGCGGCTGTAACTGCGGCTGTACTGCGGCTGTAACTGCGGCTGTAGGGAGAGCTGCCGGCTGTGCTGCGACTGTACTGCGGCTGTAACTGCGGCTGTAGGGAGAGCTGCCGGCTGTACTGCGGCTGTAACTGCGGCTGTAGGGAGAGCTGCCGGCTGTGCTGCGGCTCTACTGCGGCTGTAACTGTGGCTGTAGGGAGAGCTGCCGGCTGTGCTGTGGCTGTACTGCGGCTGTAGGGAGAAGTCTGTATTTGCGATAGTTTGAACTTACAGAAGAAAGCATGTTAGTGAATTTGATTTTTTTTTTAAAGAAATATATAATCCCATGAATTCTGAGTTGAGGGCTTTGAGATTCTGTGTCATAAACGTGTTTCAAGAATGGCTGCCTCTAACAGCAGCTTTAGAAATGTCAGTTTCTTCATTAACAATTTTATTTTCAAACACAATTTATGGTTTACAATATGGTAAGAGATTTTTCTCCCTGTGTGATCTTTCAGAATGCTGTGCCGAGCAAAATGGGAGCAGCTTTCCTTTAATATCTATTTAGACCATTTTAAAAACGTGTATAATTTTCTTGATACACCTAAACTCATTTTGAATAGTTGGGGGTCTATTGTGTAAGAACACACTCTGAAAGCTTTCAAAATGTGTATTGTGTGGGTTTTCTCAAAGAAAGAGAGGGGGTGATGGGGTGGCTTTCAGGAAGAACAGAGGCCTCCAATCCTTTTATTTTTATGCAAGGCATAATTTTTACCAATTGAGAAAATTTGGTTATTTGCTGCAAGTAATTTTTCCCCTCACAAAATGATAAGCCATAAGAAAATGCATATTCTGGCATTTTAATTCCATACCGGCATTTCAGAATTGTACTAAAAATTAGTTAATGTGGGCATGATATTTTCTTCGGCTAAGGATGCTTTGTCCCTCCTGCTCCTGAGGGTACCTGTGAAGGACGGTGTTTTGGGGACGTTCCTGGGGACTGTTTAAGGAAAGCATGACTGGTCAGGAGAGTTATTTTAAAGGACACCCTACAACGGAATGTCTCACTTATATCTTAATTTTGCATTGTAAAATCATAGAGAAGTATTTTGGACTTAGTTACGTTATTTTCAGGCATCTGATTTTATACATCAGAGTTGGGATTAGACCTTTTACTCCAGAAAACAAGTTTGCTTTTGGCTCTCAACAACCGGAATTGACCGTTAGGGAGAAGGCTGGGCAGAGGTGGCAGAGCCTGCAGGGGCGTGGGCTGGCCACTTGCCACAAGGAGCCTTGACCCTGGATCGACGCGGTCATTGTGAGTGTGATGTCAGAGCGGGGGCCTGTGAGCACATGTGGATGTGGCTGTGTCATCGATGGGGTTGTGTCTCTGTAAAGGGGCTGTGGCTTTAGTTTTATGATAACTCATTATGTTAATCTCAGGATCACAGCATATTTTTCTCTGCTGAATTAATTCTAAAATCCTTCAAGTTTAAACCTAAAAAATATATTGCGTGATAGTCTAAATATAAGATTACCTTAAAAAACTGAGGCAAAAAACTCAAATTTTAAGTCAACCCTGATATGTAGGCTATCTGTTGTAAGTGGAGGACAAAATACATAAGTTTAAGTTTGCTTCAGTTGAGTTGTATGGCAATTGAATTGAAATTAACTTGGAGAAATAAAAAGGGTTAGTTTTAAAGTGCGTTTCTAGTTAAATAACTAAACCCCTTTTCCAGAAAACTTGGCCCAGTCTGTGGTGCTGTGCACAGGGGCGGGCTTTCTGCAGCAGCTGCTGGGCGTGCCCCCGCCTTCCCGGTGAGTGGGCTCTCGTAGCTGCCTCCCCGGAGTGAGGGCCTCCCCGGAGTGAGGGCCTCCGTGTTCACTGTCCTGTGTGGCCCTCACTGTCCTGTGTGCCCCTGTGAGGAGAGGCTTCCGTGCCAGGGTTGACTGGAGGTGTTCTTTAGCCGAGTGTGTAGACTGGCGTGTCTTCTGAGCCGTGACAGTTCACACAGCATCGGGACTCTGGGGGTAGCGGTTGTTGCGCTTTTCTGGTAACCCTCGTCTCTGCAGACACATCATCCGGTTTGATTTGTAAGTAGTAATAAGGACACAAAGTTACTTGTTTCTGTTCTTGATTTTATAAGTTAACAATTAGTGATTTTAATTTTTAAAATTTC